CCCTCCTCCCCCTCCCCCGTCACGTATACGACGCGTCGAAAAGGAACCTTGGGCGAGACATGAGTGTGCACGATGCGGCTAATGGGGGGGATCGAGGGTTGGCATTGCACCAATCCATGGCCGGATTACTATAGGAGCCGAATGTCCGTACTGGATCTTCGTTTCCGTGTGCCAATTCGGAGGCTTTCGCACCATTTATCCCCTATTCGCTAAAGGTTTGACCATATTGTGATTGAAGAGAATCAAATTAGAAATTATAATTCTCAGTCAATTACATCACAAAATGATTCGTAATGGCCAGGGGATAAAATAGTAGCCGCAGCCTTCCCACTTTATAACACTTTCCTCACCGAGCCCACGTGACATTCACCCTCTTCATCGCGCCTACTCGACTTTTTGCGAACTGCCACAAAACGGCATACAAACAGACAGGCTGCTTTCACAGTCCGCCTGCCGGCAGCGTGCCGGCGTGTCAGTTGAGGTAGTGCTAGGAGGGGAGAGGGGACAGACGGGACCTTTCGACGCGGTCGCGTCGCCCCCTTTCGAAGGGTGAGAACAAAGAGAAACAAGATCAAAACAATTTGCCTTTGCCCTTCGAAGGGGCTAGGGCGCGACGCGACCGCGTCGAATGGTCCCGTCTGCCTCCCTACCCCCTCCTAGCACTACCTCGGCTGGCACGCCGGCGCGCCGGCCGGCGGACTATGAAAGCAGCCACACACAAAGTTAGCGCTTTATATAGAGACGATATCACGTTCCAAAATGTTCTAGCGGTGGCCTGAAAAATGAAGAACAATTCTGAACATGCAATAGTTCTAATTCACACCATTTTTTATCATGAAGACAACAACAATTCAGCACCTTATGGCGAAACATTAATTAAAGCTTATACATTGAGTGTGATAAATAATTTATGACTAAAACTTGACTAATCCACACTGACAAACAAATAATAAAATACTGAGAAATATTCAATTGAATTGAGCAAACAATCTCTAACTTCTCGACCTTTGTGCACTAGTTCTTGTTGTTACGACAGCGTTCTTGTGCCTTGCGAAGTTTTCACGCGGAATTAATTGAATGCCGTCATTGTGCTGCTTGGATTTATGTTTTGGATGAAGACTGAGATTTTAGCGATAAACAGAGGCGTTCTGGATTTCCCAAACAAATCCTAAAATCAACACAGCAGAGATGAATGCCCGTCCACGAGTAACGACCTCTCGCTTAACGTATCGCACTGCTCTGACTCGGTAGCGTCATGTCGTAACCTAATCTAATGACATATCATTTCAAGGGAAACAGATAAAGTCCCATCCACACATGGCCGTCGCCTGTGGGTAATAGCGAATTCAGTGCGCCCCAGCGATGCAACCCTGTTCAACTTGGAGGGTAGTTTCGGAACACAGAGTTAGCTAGACGGCATCAAGCACTCATTGCCTAATGAACTGATCACCTCAAGTTGGTTTAGACCTTTGAAAAATCATCGCGACAAGATGTTTGCTAGTTGAAATTGAAAGAAAAACACGCAAGGCACAAGAATATCACCATCGCAAGTTGGCTGCTTATATAACTCAGGCATTGTTCCTTGACGGTTGAACTAAAACCATTTGAGCGGTTGAGATGGAGCAGCTCCATGGCTTAGCGTATTGATAAATGCTTTCACCGCAGCTAAAAGTTACTGTGCAGTGTAAAAATTTGAGAAAGCAAGCAAGTTTTTTTCTTGCAGGATGGAGAACAGTGGACGCGAACAATTTNTTTCCCATCCTGGAACTTCTTATAAAATACATAGCAACAGCGTACCGCTCATTAAATTCGGATCTTTCTGATTCAAATCCAAAGCGTCTAAACCATAGGCTACTTGATTTGATGTGGCTTGACTATTCATCCTGAAAGAAAAACAAATATAAGACAAATGGAGTAGAAGAAGGATCAGTAAGACTTTTCCTTTACCTGTCTCTCGGATCTCTAAAAAACATATTTGAAGGAGGTTTAAGTCCTAATGGCCTTCTTTGGTGCTCTGGAACTGGGCGAACTATCGATGATACCGTTTCCGCGTGACCATTCCTGGATATGTTGACCACTAGATAAAGACTTCCAATCGGAAATACTGTGCTAATACGCAGTAAAACCCAGTAAGGATCAAAATAATTAGAGAGCGATAAGTAACTGAAGAATATTCTGTCGGCTGGTTCCAATCTGTGATACCTCAGCACTGTTAATTGCCATGTGCCGGATCCCCACCTCAAAAAACCGATTCGTTTTGGCGATGACACCTTAAAGTTTCAGAGGATACCAGCACATCAGATGAATAGATTGTACCTTCCAAGCAAAGCAAGTGCCTTTTTACCATTTCTTTATTGATAAAAGGTTANAATGTAAAACAGAGTTATGGCTTGAACAGAGAAGCTCCAAAAGGGTACTGCTTCGCCACATTCAAAATTATTTTTCTCGTATCACACTCACGCCGTCCTGTTTCAATGCCTACAAAAATTATTTCCACAAATTTATTTAGTTTTATCAGACAAATCATCACAAAAAAATGAATTTGTCGGTTGAGTAGGAAGAAAACAGGAACAAAAATCACGAAACAGTGTTCGAATTCTTCCTTCCTCTCACACGCTGACTCGCTTACACTGAGACCCCTGATTTTTTCCGGATCCCCAAGCCATACTTAATTAGTTTTCGTGAGCGTGTATAGCTGATGAGAGAGAAAATACGAATTCCTGGTTCATGCGTTAACAAACATTTAGTGAATAAATAACAAATTGTTGAGGGGATGCGAGAAAGGTTCCATGAATATATGAGGAGACAGTGGAAAAAGTTTCTGATATCAACTAATAACCACTGCGATACCATGGCTGTTCGTGTGCTCTGCCAAGCCCACGTGCTGGGCGTCTTGGAGGAGAACCCCATCCACCATATGGAGACCGAGCGAGCGCTCCAGGAGCACTATAGCCGAACGTGTCCTAAATAAAAGGAACTACGTGATGGCAATGCAACGCTTTCGAGAACACCTTCGCCCAATGTGATTTTCACCGAATAGAGTAGCTTCTCATATTACTATTGCTCAAATATATGATGAATGGTCTCAGCCAAGAAAATGTTCTTTCGAATAACAAAACGCACAGCTGCTACAGCGGTAACAAATGCTTGATGGTCACAAATATTAACCTTTCAACAATTTCCAACTAACCCGCATGTGGTACGGCATAGGTCCTCTTGGCGATCCTCCATAACCAGCGCCACTTTTTCCATATCCGTAGTGTCCATATCCAAAATCATTGTAGTACACAGGTATCCCATTCCGTCTATTTTGTCTCTCATAAGCTTCTTCTCGAGGAACAGCAAGAGTTACGATTACCGGCATATCATCAATCACGTAATTGTTCGTTCTGAAAAGAAGAAGTGATTTCCAAATTGAGAGTACTTTACTGCCCATAAATGTAACTCTAAATTTGGTATTTTCAACATCGATGAATCACCATCATCAAGCCCCTTCCAGAAGGGTTTAGCACCTGACGGTTCCCATTTTGCTTCGCAAAAAATGGCTTTGAACTATGGAGCATAAATGAACTGACAGGTGTCATGCGATTTGAGAATTTGGAAAATATAAGAGAAAACTCGGGCAGCTAGATTTTACAGACGAAAAACGAGAAATCGTACTTGACCATCTTATCGGCAACCTCAGGTTCCGTAAACGTGACGAAAGCGAAACCACGGAAAGGCTTTGGAATGAAAACATCAGTCACCTGGAAACGAAACAAGTAAGCTACGATTACTGCTAAGTCCAATGAGGCTTACCGATGCGGACTCCATAATTTGTTTAGCTTCCTTTTCGAAGAATTCACGCAAGATATCCTCATTTATCTTCTCCAAGAGTCGACCAACAAATATCTTGTTAACCAAAGCCTTTGAAGAAACACTCCGATCATTTCCGGGAAAACCATAATCATCGTGCTGAACACGGCGATTAAAGATTTCATGACGTATTCTCAAACAGCTCAGCATTAGTATATGTATTTAGCTGCTTAAGAAAACAAACAGAATCTAACTCTCCTCTGGACGAATATTAAGGCGCGTACCTTGTGGTCCGGAATGCGAACTTCGCACCGTCTGCCATCTATCATATGGACGGCAACCGAGAGAACTTTATCCTGTTCTTCTAATGTGCTCATTTGTACAAAACCGAATCCTTTCGAGCTGCCCTCCGCTGTTCGTTTGATCTGAACCAGAAGATGCGAAGCTCTTTGATTTTACTAGAATTTGTCGGATTCTTGTGGAAGAGTTAGCAATATTTTTACTTCTTTTTCACGATCCTTCAAAGTAGGGAGAGATTTTCTTGAAGGTAACGTTCCTCCTCTCAAATTTGGAAGTACTCAATGGATTGAACTATCACCTCTGGTGCAAGGAAAATGTACCCATTAACAAAAACTTTCAACTATTCCAAAGTGGATCAGAGCTTAGGTCCACTCAAAAGTCAATAGCCACTTTGCAGGGAAGAAGCTTTCTAATGAAGACCGTGTAATCCTCGAAAAAGAACTTATCGTACATTATCAACCGGTTACCCAAAAGAATAACAGGAGAGCATCAACCCCTCGCTTCACCCACTGAGATCGACATGCCCGCTACAATGCGGCAAGTTCTTCAATATAAAGCTTCTCTGCTTTTGACTGAGATCACCACGAAGACAGGAACCACCCAATCAGTTATACAATTCAAAAAAGGCACAGGTAACCACAATCAATTCACACTCACCTCTGCAAAAGAGACGGTACCGTATGATTCGAAGTACTTTTTGAATCCTTCGTCAGTAGTCTTGAAACTGACGCCGAGCACGATGAGATCGACGGGACGGCGCGGCGCTGCCGGCTCGTTCACCGAATCTCGAGCGTCAGCGGCACGTTTGCGACCAACTCGACCCTCATCATCACTGTCCGACTCTTCATCACTTGTACCAATTTTGCGCCGCTTCACACTCACATCCGAACCTAGACACACCTTACTCACCCCCGCACCACATTCTTTTAGCCAAGTAACTTCAAAGAAAATCACAAACTTCCTCTTTCTCCTTTTTTCGTGATGGAAAGGGCTCTCTCTAACTGTGACTCAACTGAACCAGCAATTTTCGAGGCACAAAACTCGTACCTTTGTGTATGTAAGATATCGCTTGATTACGCTTATGTGCTTTGGAGTGCCAAAGTGCGATCTAGAGTGCGGTCAGCATCAGAGGGAAAGGTGATTCCGTCACCCAGCAAAGCAATACTTAACACGCTCACGACTGTGTGGTGCACCAATGCATCCCTACTAGACTACAACGACCGCATGATACGCTGGAATATGGCCGACTTCGACTGCATCATTTTTCGCATGAAATCTATTCTCTTTCGAAAAGGTAAGAAAAAACGCAGCATGATAGAGTTATTGTCTTAGACTGAGAAAGTCATACGAATTCTTTCANGTTTGAAACCTATACATAAGCTGTCTTGACTAAACGCGCAGAAGTAATTTAGTATAATTTGACCGCCCTAGGGACATGGGCCAAAAGCTCAATAAACTGGTCTCAACCATGTGCCAGTGGTTAGATCGTGTCACCGATGATTTCCGACAACGGACATAGTTGAGAATTATCGATGACCTTATCTTACCGCATAACATAGTTGGGATGAACGCTTTGAACTAAGAACTCCAAAATCAACTCCAAAACCGACAACAATTCTTAAAACTTTAAAAATGAGCACGCCGATTTTGCTTATCAAAATAGATAATGCGTTCATACCTTTGTCGGCGCGTGTACTCGAAATGATCGCTGTAAAAGTCTTATCGTCCCAACCATCTTCGGGAGGGAGAAGTTTCGTCCCAGTTGCATCTAATCTGAAATTTCAAAAGCTAACTCGATTTTTTCCCGATCTGAGGTCTGACAACATGCTAAACAATGACGTACGCGATCGCTCTAGAAGCTCCTGTCTTAGGATTTTTGTACTTTATTCCTGTGGCACGAGGAAAAGAAGACTGCAACGTTGTCATGAATAAGGTATTGTCGGGAGCTGTTGGCAGTTCCATCGGTTCGCCTGTAATTATGAAAACATTGAAACATCTGAGTATTGAAGATTATATGTAACATGTTGTTTTAATAGTAATACAAGTGTAGACCTTTAGTGCAATTGCTCACCAAGGAAGAATTGCAGAGTTAGATGATGTTTGCGCTATTTAGAGTCTACTTTACATCACTTGAACTTCATCCCAAATTGAAATTTACCGCTGCTGTCCGAAACGATCACAAAATCGGATCGTGGTAAGCTGTTCCCATTGCATTGCAAGTCTGTGCTTTCATTGCCGTTATCCATCGTGCTTTCATTGCCGTTATCCATCGTGCTTTCATTGCCATTGTCTACCGAAGAAGAACCGTTTGGGTTTTTCTCACCATCACTTGATGTAGCATCGCTCATGACTGAAATTCTTTGTCGCCGTAAAACGAAGTACTCTGGAAGAAAAGGCGTAGTTTATGAAAAGAGCATAAAAAGAGAAATAAGCCGCAATCAATCACAAGGACACATAGCATGAGGTCGGAGAAAGGTAAGGAAAAGTCAGAAAATAATTTCGGAGAATCCGCCCTTTGTGACCGATGAAACTATCAACATGTGCTATCAATGACCTGTAGAGAAGCACCGTCATTATTGTTACTAGCCGCCAGTATCCTATTGTTACACTGTAAAGCGAAAACAACTAGCGTCCAAGTAGATAAATGGCATTATATGATGACATGCGTAAGGACCTCTTAAGCCATGGAATGGGAACGGCATTGGTGAAAATGCGGATGAAAATATAAGATGGGTGGATTACAAAGGCAAATATCGTAAAGAGTACCATGTTAGAGCAATAACGCTTTCAAAGGATGTTCGCTTGAAAGTGAACCTCTCTCACGTTTTCTTCAGAACACTTACGCGAATAAGTGAACTTAACAGCGGTGACTACAAATACCTTAACAAGAAGTATTAGAAATGAAAAAGGAAATAAGGCATCCGAAAAGGGCTTCTACAATAGATTCTGATCCCTCTACCTTTGAGATCTGCTATTAAACTTA